TTAGAACTTTTCCCGACTTCAGTTGTGGATGCAAAATGATAAGTTCTTTGAAATCCAGACAGTAGAAAGTTTGCATTTTGAATATGCATCAGTTTGAATAACACAAGAACAAAATGAAAAAGTGAGATCTAACAATATTGTAGCTCTGTTTTTGAAAAGATCAACCTACCCAGATTATGAAAAACCGTATTACCGCTTTTCATTATCTGGGCATCTTTCATAAGAAAAACATTTCATTAATGTTTTTCATCTAGATGTGCGAAGATATATACGTATGAAATTCAACTGATCCTCTCTATTTCGTCTGCTTTAATACTAACTACATATAATATGTGAGAATGGTTGAAGGAAACATGTACAATAATCACATTTATCATAATTACTGATTTTGCAGTAACATATACTACGCCTCAAGGCGCTTTTGAGCTTCAATGCGCTCGTACACTTGTCACAAATTGAAGCGCCAACATATAAGTTCTGCACCGAAAATGTGATGCCAAGCCATACAAAGGTATAAGTCTAGGTATAAGTAAACAGAGCACCTTACGCCTTTGGGCATAAAAATTCTCGCCATGCTCAATAGTTATTAATTATCAGGCTGTAAAGAAAGTAATTTTTTTAATGTGAAATAAAACTCAATTGTTTTCTACGCAAAAGGTGGACTTTAATCAGTAAAATATATTCCATTCTGTTTGATGATCTTTTTCCATCTTTCTGGTAATTTTACGATTTCGTGCTCTTAACATTTCTGGTTTTTATCAGCAAAAAACTCAACCAATTGAGATTTGAGGTCATCGTTATTACTGCTGCAAACTTCGAAATAACTGATAATTCGATGGTGCAAAGTAGAGGCTATATGGCGGATCCCAACTAAGCATTAATAATTTCGTACGTGTTGCTAAAGATATGTGATAGGCCTTGTACTGTATTGGTGGAATACAATTCCTTTGAGATTTACCAATTCTGGCGTTTTATCTTTGATTGCTTCCCCCAGTTTCAAATAGTTGACAGTAAACATCTGAGTTTGTCGTGGTAGTAGCTCAAAACACACAAACCTTTGTAATCCAACCAAATTGACAGCATCACCTTTTTCCTGATGCAATTTAGCTTTCGATATGATTTGTGCTGATTCATCATGCTCGAACCATGATCGTTTTCGATTAACTTTATTATAGATAATTCATTTTCCATTCCCAGTTATAATTCGCTTCAAAAAAGGATAGGTTACATTATTTTTTAAATGCGTTGACTCATTGTGTTAAGTAAATTTCTTTCAGTTCATGCCGAACACAAATATCGAGCTTCTTAACGAGTTTAAGTCATCTTATGCGATCTTCAATTATTGTGTGTGATTTTAACTTTTATGCAATCTCTCGCCCATAATATGACGATTCGAAAGAAAGGTCGGCGAAATGTTGATCGCTTTCAAGGGAAAAATATCCGGAACGAAAGTTTTTAAACCAATTCTGATACATGCATTTTTTTAAGCAATCAACATCATAAGCTTTACATATTTTTTGTAAAACTCAGCCGCTTTCTCGGCTTTACAAAAAATAAGAGTAAATATGTTGAAATATTTATTTTTGCACCCCACGTTAAAATTGGTCTAGCGATATTTTTGTATGAGTAGTACATGCATAGAAGAAAACATTGTTAAATATAATGTTCCATAATTCTGATCTGATGCATAATTTGTAAGGAGAGCCTAGGAGTTTGCAAATATTTGCTAACTGAATGCTTGTGCGCAATGACATTCTTTCGAATTTTAAGAAAATCAGCATGACTAGGAAAGGCTTGGACAGATAATTAAAATTTCGTAGTGATTTTAATGTAACTGGACACCGTAATGAGTAAGACATATTCTTCAGATCGTGTACTGCAGAGAGTAATCTAATATAACTATTGACAGAAATTTCACAAGGCAGAAACTGATATGATTGAATATAGCGTATTTATTATTAAACAAATATATTTCCAAGGTGTTAAAATTAACTTCGGATTATTTGTCGTCACATCTAACAACTGATCCTAGAAGTTATGTACAAGGATTGGCGAGTTATCCCTTGGTATTGATTAATTACTAGCCCACAAAATAGGTCTCACAGTTAAAGGTAAGCGGAATAACATCAATTTTATTAACTGTGACGTGTGAAGTAATATATTTAAAAACGGGAGAAAAAATAAGCTGCATGTCATCTCGTCAACTTCCAATTTAGCTGGTTGCTGAGATGTTAAAGCTAAAAAGTGAGTACGACGATGTTTTAAAACTGCGAAGTTTTTGAATCACTTTTATTCGATGATGATCTTTTGTATCACAGTGTTTTACAACTCTGATGCTTTCTTCTTGGTTTCTTTTTTTCCACGATGTTTTGTACGACTACGTTTTCCCCTTGCATTATTTTCTCCGCTACGCTTTCTCCACGATGTATTTGGTGCGATGTTTTCGGCGGACACCATTTTGGGGCACTATTAGCATCAAGCTATTAGCATCAACAACTGACAGCTGTTTTTGAAAATTGAAAAAAGTATATGATAATTTCCAAAGTTTAAATAAAATTTTTAATTCTGTATTTTATTATTTTAATTGTATGAAATAAAAGTTCAGTATGAGTATTTTGAAGTTGAAAATTCAAATTATAATCAAAATGTATTATTCCAAAGGGGCTTTGTCCCAGCGGGCCTATTGTTTTCGTTTTGCCATTTTGCGTCGAATCACACTGAATGTCCGTTTCGCTTTTTAAACTGTCCCTACAAATATTATATCCCTGTATTATATTTGTCAAATTTGTTTTTAAAAAAAATATTAAATAATTCTTTATTTAACTAATGTGCATTTTAAAAGGGAGAGTGTTATTCAGTACTATAATTGCAGCAACAAGAGGAATTGCCTTTCTGTTACAGGCAATAACTTACACTGCATTGAACAGAGTTTAGCATTACATCTATGCCAGAAGACATTCTGATGCTTATCAAATAAAGATACAGCATTACTGCCTTGAGAAAAAATTCAGAAAAAAATCGTACAATTTTTGATAAAATATTTACTATATATATATGCATTTTGAAACATGCTTTTGGTGAATCGGCATTTTAAAAAACTTTTTTCCATTTTAATCCATTTCATTGTATCCCAATTAGGTCAGAAAATGGGGTTCTACGTAATTAATTTATTAAACTTCTGCAAATTACTTTTATTGAACCATAAATTGGTTACATTTAAGATATATATATATATATTTCAGCCTTTTAATAAGTAATAAAAAACAGATCGTAAACTATATTGAATATATACATGGGGTGGAAATGCTGAGTCTGTCATAAATGATGATGGATTACCAGGTAAAAGCTGTCATGGATAATTGCGCACTTTTGCTTTTGACATAACTTTCATTGAACACACACAGCTATGGCTTAAATACGTGCTCCGTACTCAATAATTATTAGCGCGAATTTATATATTTAAAGCATTACAATAAATGATCAAGAGAGGCCGCGAGTATGATGTATGTTAGCAGGACAAAGACAAACAGCAAAAGAATGAAAATAATACTGTTATCATAGCATTAAGAACAGCGAAATGATGGCTCGTTTTATTTCTATTGATTAATTGAAATATTTGATTTGAATACTTTTCATTACTATTTGGAAAAGTCTTCAGTTTTCAATTTTGCCGTTATGCAAGTATATTTCGTATATGCAAATTATATGCCAGTAATTAATTTTAAAATGGTGCACTTCAGAAAGGCGTACTATTACTATAGGTCTGGTATATTTGTATGATATACAAGTGAAAAATTTAATTAAAAAAGAGAAATAAGTAGCTACTAAATGTTAGAATTTTATCTTTCATAGTCTTTATTATTTATTTGTTTCAAGAAATTGCACATATAAATAAATAATTAGCGGATGTGAATCTGAAGTGGATTGCAAAATTCATTTTATCACTAGCAACAGTTATTCCTTTTTGAGATAAATGTAAAAGAACATAAAGTTTGGAAAACAGAACATACCTCTTACTTTTGCTACTGATCACAGTGTGTTGTCAGATGCTCCTCAACAGATGCTCATGAAACAGATGCTCCTGTTTCATGAGTCAATATGAGTCCAGGTCAGTGAGTCATAAAAAAGTGAGTTATAAAAAATGCTAAACCATCAAAACTCATCACAATTCTTTTAATCTAAATTAAAATGATAGGGTATCTGCTTTCGGAATTAAAATGATGTATTTACTGTCATGTTTCATTTTCGTTTAATTAATGAATTATCTTTCTAACTGAATGTGACCTATTTTACTTACAGATTCGGAGGAGTATACGTATTCATATTAATTCAAATTATTATACGTAGACTATGTTCAAATTAATTTATGTAGGGAATAAAAACTTTTTTTGCAATCTGAAAAACATGCAATTTTGTTTTCACTTTTCCAATTATTTATTTTAAAATTCTTTTTCTCTCGCTCATTGTTTTAAAATTTTCTTAAAAATATTTAATTTACGTTTCATAAAGGTATTAATTTTGTCCTGTTACACAGCATGTTTTCCCTTTCTGAGAACAGTTACAATAGAATTAAATGATTATCGGTGCATATTATTAAATGCTACTACATTTTAAGCATTCCTTATTTTTTTAAAACTTGGAAAGGTACACTGCATTCAATCCAAAGAACAAAACTTTATGTGTTATCTAATACTTTTTAGATGCATGAAGAAGAAAAAAAAAATGTTTTAGCAAATATCGATCTGCATTCACACATTTTAATGGAATTCTTGACATTTAGATTCATTCAGTATTTCTAGAACTTAATAACACTAAGGACCGTCAAGTACTAAATTTTCATCTGTGGCAATGCACATTAAAAAAATCGGAGAGTAGCATCTGAGAATCCGTGACAGAGGGCGCCACTAACCGGCCTCTCTCTCCTTCACCCTTCTCTTCACTGTCGTTAGCATCCCCTCTCCGGAACGGTTATCACTCGTACGCCCCCCCTAGATCCGGTCACAACTGTGCACCCCGTCGGTCTGTCTGCCGGCTTCTCTCTCTCCCCACTCACGCACTCTCTCCGGAAACGTGGTTCTCCCCCTCCGGAGGTTTTTCCGAGTCCGGGAAGCTTTCAAGTCCGGGAGACAACAACGCCATTTGGAAGCCAGCAACGAGCAAGGCCGTTCGTCTTCCGGCCGGTAGTGTCCTGGCAATGCCGCGACCTTCTCGGGCGGCTGCCGCAGAGGAGGACGGAGTCTTCCCGTAGCCAGATGAGGCCAAAATGCCGAGATCATTCTTGGTGAAGAAAGCTAAGTACCCTGTCGATCATGGAAATCGGTGGCCTTACAGGGAACCTTCGAGTCCAACGGAGGGGGCCACTGCACCACCTTATCCGGTGTCACCACCTCATCACTGCCTCACCGTCCGTTATACAAACGGTAAGTCCATAAGTTTTCTTTCTTACAGTACTATGTGCAATGCAGTGAAACAAATATAGAGTAGATAATTCTTCATCCAAAGCGATTTTTAAAACTGCATTTACAAGCATAATTAGTTGATAATTATCAGGAAATCGATTTGCTTAGAATCTAATTTTAATACTTTTTAAAAACAAATATCATAATTATTTTGATTAAAGAGAAGCGTAAAAGTATTACAAGGTAAGAGAAGCGTATTTATAATCTTATGTTCAAATCAGTGACATTTTTTTATATAAACGCCAATTGTCAATATTTAGACTGAAATTCATTAGAAAAATTATTATAATATTGTGTTATATTGGGTAATTGTAACACTTAACAATTTTAGGTTCTAAACTTCAAGACAGTATCGTTAACATCCACAATTTGCTTCTACCATATATTCATAAGTTAGCTTCCTTTTAATTCCCAAATAAAAAAAGTAACATATTACTGATTGAATTTCAAACTAATTTAATAGTATGTGAGGTCAGAGGATTTAACGGTATTTAAATAATTACATGCTGTCTGATTTCTTTTTTCTATACAGGAGAAATACATCATAAGGCATGCGCAACAAGCTGTTGTTCTAACTTGTAGAATTTAATAAGCTCCAGAGCATCAATCCCACTATGCTATAGTTTATCTTATACTTCTCTAATACAGTCAGTTAAATAATACTTCGTTAATAAACAACAGGAAGATTCAGCTTAAAGAAAAAATTACATACTTTGCCTTTCACCCGATTGCAACAAACCGTCGCATGAATGTTAAAAATATTTTATATCTTTAGAATTCTTGATAAAGTTTTAAATGTGGCAAACATTATTAATATTCTTTCATTATTCCTTAAAATTAATACATACTGATAAAATTTGCCAAAACATCCGTTTATTTGGGTTTGCGTATATTTCTCATTACGTTATTTCTTTAAAAAACAATACTTGGCGATAACATTAAGTGGCAACATTTGAAAAGTGATACTCACAAGAAAGTGAGGTTTAAGACTAGTAACACCTCTGACATGTAGGAAAAAATAAAATTGTGAATTTATTTCCACGTTTCAGGAGAGCTTTGCAATACGTGGAAATTCAGTAGCACCAGTCCCCTTTTGAGAACAGACACATAAATACACGAAAATGTTTCCTACATGTGCCAATTTGATTAAAATTATCCTCTTGCAGGTTAGAAGAAATATGCAGAAATCGATGCGTAAATCATCCTACATAGTTAGATAGTTTATATTTTACTTATGAGCAATTCAAAGTTTGGTAGAAAGTTTCATTTGCGAATAATTTACTCAGGCAAAAATTATATGAAAACACTTTAGTTGTGTTTCTTTTCTCAAATATTAAGTAAAGAAAAGAGCAACATTTTATAAGACATACCATATTTACTCACGGATTTTTCCCTTTCCCTACCAATTTTATCACTTGAAAACCGAGAGGAGAAACGCGTGTAAAATATACTATTTCTAAACAGGCATCTTAATAATGCACTTAACACATTAAAAAGCATACATAAAGACACCCTAATATTATTACATTACATATATCAAGGGGCTTATCAATTTGAATAACATTCCTTGAACTTATACATAATAATTCCCTATTTGTGCTTACATTTTGCATTGTTATCATTCTTGAAGTATATTGTGAAAATTCCTCCGGGAACAATATGCGAGTAAATATGGTATTAATAGTAACTGATGTTGCTGTTTTCAAAGATATGAATATTTGACATATAAAAATATCTGTGCCGAGGTACACAATATAAGGCGTGTCAGAAACATCCTTTGTTTCATCCTTAAAAGCAAAGGATGATTCTTCAAACATCCTTAAATGTGCTGAGATTGTTCATACAAATTATCATTTGTATGCATCGCAATATAACATTAAAATTATATCTATTAGTGTAAAGCGTCTTTAAAAAGAAAATGTAAATTGTAATTATTAACAAATGTTTTTATTGCTTCTTAATCCATTACAGTTCAAATCAGTTGTTCACTGCGTTCGAGAAACTGTTTAGGAGATCGTAATAACGATAAACTAAAGAGCTTATGTTTCAACCAACGGCAACTTTTGCCAAATATCCTTAATGTTGTTGAATGTCTGATAGTACAATGTAATATAAGTAACTGTCCAGAAATTTTGGAAGGACTCCTTTAAAATAATTTTCCCGCCTCATAATCGCAAAAACAAATTTCCAAATTTGGGAGCAGTTAATTTTTATGTGTATACGTAGTGTATTAAATGTTTTCAGTTAATGTATACTGCTTAACTTTTAAAGTAGCAACATGCACTGTTATATCCGTTTTATTTTGAACATAAAATGCTTATATTTAGCTCAATCTTAATCATTTTGTCAACAATAAATTAATATTCTGTCTGATATATATATATATATATATATATATATATATTTAAAGGTAAATTAAAACAAAAACACGAGTATTCTTTAACTCGTGACGACATCTAGATTTGATGTAAGATGTCAAGCTATATTCCCTGATCTTAAATGTATGCATGAGTTTAATGAAATAAGGGATAATGTACAATAATCGCCAGAGAAAAAATTATTTTATCAATCATACAATAGGAATGGAAGCACACTAATGTAAAATTTATCTCATGATCTCATGTAAGAAATTACTAGGAAACCAATACAAAATTTGATTGTTTCTGACAAATTAATTGTTATAACAAGCTATTCTAAAATTTTACGTAATCAAAAATTTCACAGAAAGGAACATTAATGAGTTTTCTTTCCTATAATTGATACTGATGTATATATAACCGTGAACGATCTTTCATTAAATTTTGATGCTCTTTCAAGTAAGGATTTCTAGTCGGTAGAATGTTCTTTACTGTTAGTAATTCGGCTTATTAACGCAGTATTAAGATTTGAGAGCCATAAGAGTAATAATGAAATTACACTCAAAACTGTTAATGAAAATCATTTGGAAAAAGTAACTCATCCTGGAGGAATCTAAATAATTTTGCCAAACTGGAGAAGCTCATAACAAGGCGAGGATATGGAAACTTCCAAGTAGAAAAGCGCAGTCAGAAAGAATTCCTAAATTAACAGAAGCCTCTGAATGTAGCTTATAAGGTTAAGCCTAATTAACTCTTTAATCTGCATCTGCGTAAACTTATTTTTCTCAGATGACGTTTCGTCCAAATGAATTTTAGTAATATAGATAGAAGTTAAAAGATTTACTGCATTAATACTTGAAGTTTATAAATTTAAAAGTAACAATAAACAGCCACCTAGAATTCGGATGTTTATCAACTCTAATATTTTAATCCATCAATTGCAGAATGCAGACATACATTTCTAATCAATTTTCGACAAACATTATTCTAATCCTAATCTTTAATAAATACAAAATCACTCTACATTTTGACTGGAGTGAATGGTTCTTTTCTTCACAGTAACAGGCTACCATATCGTTACCATAGCACTATCTCTCAGTTAGGATTCCCACGCTGTTTAATAGCTTGATTTAATTTATACTCTGGTGATGGCTTAGGAAAGACTTGGAAGATACACAAGAGATTTAAATAAAAATAGATTCAAGAAAAAGCCTTGAATTATCTGCAATATGAATTACTGTAAATTTCTTCCTTACTGTTGACTATGAATTACTTTGACAACATCTTTATTTGTGCTTGTTATTCGCGCGTGCAGAAACGATTATCAGCCCACAGTCAATCACACTTGTTATAACCAAAAAAAGCCTTAAATTCTCCTGTGAATTTTCCAGTATTACAATTACCTTAAGAATTTATGTAAGTTTGTGATGGAAAAGTCACATTGAAAATCTTCTGCTGTTTCAAACTTACTTTTGAATTTTTTGTCAGCTTTTAAATATAAGCTGATACTAAAATAATATACAATTACTAATAATAACATACAATTACTATTTAATAATATTTTACTAAGAGTATTGAAACTACTTAAGCATGGAAATTCTCATACATCTATATCGCCTTGCTATAGCAATATATTACCTATCTTTATATATATATAGCAATTTTCTAATTGCATGTAAGCTGCAAACCACACGTTTAGATGCCATATCGTAATGCCTTAAATAATTAATGGGTTACATTCATTGTTCTGTATTGTTACGCTTGAATACACTTGAACCGTACTTTGAATAAGCAAGCAGAACGAATGGATTTTAATCTTGTCTTGATTTAGAAACTTGCAACTAAATACAATAAAAACAAACATATGAAAAGAACTAAAATATCTGTCGGTATTTCAAGTTATAAATACAGCTGAAAGAATACGAAAGCTTAATTGACGCTATTTCAGCATTTCAGTTCGAAACAATAGGGAGAATTACAGCTCTTCGGATGACATATACCAAAAGTCTTGCTCTAAACTTAAAATCTATCTCGTTATTTAAACTCACTTCAACTGTATTTTTTGGCAGAGACGAAATAGTAGAATTATAGAAAAGATTTTTAACACAGGTAATATGTAACTAAAATAAATCTTACACCTTATGTTATAGGAGAGTGCGTTTTTGCACTTATTTCGAGTTCACTCTAATGTCACAAAAGCATTCAAACAAAAAGGCTTATGCAAATGAGAAACTGGTAATGGTTAACTTATGCATATTTGTAATATCATCATAAAATGATTCAAAATATAAAAAAAAAATCTGTAAGCTTTAAAACTTTAAGTTACGCCCGAAGGGTCGTTTATTAAACGTTTTATGTTTTACCTTTATTTATTAAATATTATGTTCTTCGCACTTAAAGCATAAAATTCAATTCAACAGCAATATCGCAAAGTAATTTTAAAATGAGCAAAGCTTTAGAATTTCCGATACGCAATCTCGCACTTTGGAGATATTTTTTTTCCATAAAGTATTTTCATTGCTTCCTTTGAAATCATTGAGTTTGTTAATCAAAAATTCGTTAAAGTGTTACAAAATATGAAATCGATAATAAAACAAATTTCAA